CGTTGCCCGTCCTCGTCCGGTCTCCTCTGCAATGGTGGGCCGTAGCGAAAAACGGTGCAGTCAGCGGCCTCGTGCACTTGCGATGGAGCTCAGAGGATCTCTTGAGCAAGTCTCGTGAGCAGCTGACAGTGACTCAGCGGCAGCCATCCAGACCCTGGTGAGATTTACTCGTGCCCTTTGTCACTGCAGATGCGAGAGCACCTTGCCAGGTTGTCGAAAAACGCTGACTGGCGCTCCGCCTGCACTCGAACTGGACGACAAGGGGAGCTGGCAGAAACCCGCAGCTCTCCTCTTGGCTCCGGACCGCTTCGTCGGGCAATCCGCTGCAGTAGTCAACAATGGAGTAGACTTGCGAAAACACTGGGCTGTAGACCTTGCAGCCTCCAAGACAGCAAAGCAGTCACCGCACTCCAATTGTCTTTCGGATTGTTGCGGGCTGGAAATCTCCCTCGCAGTTGCATGCCTAATGTTTTTTGTAGGAATGATGCAGCATGCAAGACCGCCTGCAGAGGTCGAAGTTCGACGAGCTGTCTTGGTTGATTCCGTCTCTGACCGGTGCTTGTGTCGTCTGCTTCGCTTGTCGTCGATCATGGTGGGGATCGCTGGCTGGCTGACCACATCCTTTAACATGTTTGCTGCAGGCTGGAGAAGCAGAGGCGTCTGTCACGCTTTCTGCGCCCGGACGGGACAAACTTTTGCCACTCAGTCGCAACTTCTCACTGCTGCTCGCCTTCTCCTCTTCTCCCTCCGCCTCGCACTAGCAGCAACTCTCAAATGCGTGGCCACGAACCATGCCACATTTATGGCTCCTTAATTGGTTTGCGAAACCTTAAACGATCGAAGCCTGCGCCCTCACATTGGTATGCCATGCTCGGTCAACTAGCTGGCAGATATATAGCTCTACGAGTAGTAATCAAGAACCACCGTGATGCCTCATGTCCAGTACGCTGGTAGGTCAGCGACATGCCATCGTTGAAGGTATGAAGGCCCCGCTGGTTCTGAAGTTTCGTCTGGATCTCCGCCCGGTACTTCCATTTGCATTAACGTCTGTTTGCATCGCGTTTATGTGAGGATGTGTTCCGGTGCACGCTCCCGCAGATCTGCCGGCATGCCGCAAGGGATGGGGCGGGCTTCTCTGTTTGCACTCAAACGTGCTCAGCCAGGACAGGCCAGGACTGAATGCCAACTTATCTCTGCTCGCGCACTTTGCCTGCGGCAGGTGCTGAGGTACATGGTGTGCGTAAGCCTCAAGCTCGAATGCCTCGTTGTTTCGCTTCAGCTGGAGATTTGGATGATAAATGGGATCCCACTTCCTCTTGTGAAGAAGCGCTCCACATAGTAGAATATGGCAGATTCCTGGGTGAATCTGTCCCGGCAGACTGGCGACTGCTTGGTGCCAGGGGCTGTTCGTCGAATCAGCAATTATGCAGCAAGCAAAGCTTCTGCTCGTTGGCGGCTGTCGCCGGTTCGTGAAAGGGTACCAACTGGTAACTGAGCTCCGAGCGCTCCCAAGTAACCTGTGCCTTGCAGAGTGAGGAGCGCTCTCGCTCGTAAGGCAAACCGTGAAGCCGCGACTGAGGACTCCACTCCATCTGCATCGCCGCAGCACCATTGAAAAGCACTTTTAGCCTGCACGCAGCAGTATTCCAGCAACTGGCCCGATCAACTATGGCTCCAACAAACAGGCTTGTCACGCCTGGGAAATAACGGGAAATGCATCGAAGGTGCTGAACGGCTCAACCTTCTGCCACTGAGCCTTGACTGGTATGCCTAGTTGGGTGCACATGAATCTGCTCTGCAATGCTCAGAACCTCGCATCCGCATCAATAACCTCGGAGTTCCAGATGGCCACGCCAGGTGAGCGTGAAATGAAGTGGAAGCATGGGTTGCGATCCAGCTGAAAAGCACTACTCACTACATTCACTACCTACAGTCGTCAGGTTTCTTGGCAGCCTTGTTTGTAACGAGGGCGGTGTACAAAGCCTGACCGCGTGTATCTTCTGTCACTGCATAGCTATGCACAGACGAATATCCTGGCGAATATCAGGTCCCGTGACACATCACGAAAACGCCACGCCCTGATGATGGACACGTGCCCCCATGACACACTGAACTGGGCTGTCAGTTGTGATCGTTTACCGATAAGTTAAGGCAGTTAAGCCAAAAGCATATGATAAAGTGGTGGCATTCCCGAAACCCCCAAACACAGACTCTGCGTCACAGTCGCCGCTTTTAGGTCAAACGCTTGCCTTGTTACCGTCTCAAGAGTGCCAACAGTCACAGGGATGCGGCTAGGGTTGCTGTCCATGTAGTCGCAACACATCAAATCCATTCAACATTGTAACCCATAATCCAACCAATCCAGCCGCACCCACAGCCACTTGACACGCAAACAGGGAGGCACTGTGCGGGACTGGAATCCGACCGTGGCAATTTCCGCCAACATCTGACTTGCATAATGTCGCTCCCTGTAATTGCAGAATCCCAGTCGGAAAACGTGTGTTGCTGGTGTGCGTGCGGGTTTCGACTCGCGATGCAAATGATGCATGCTGTGTGCACCGTAAAAAAATAACGGCCGAAGAAGTGATCGGACCCTCCTCTCCTCGTCAGTGAGTCCGCCATCATCTCCGTTGCTGTCAGGTCTGCTTGCATTCGCGGCGCTCCGAGTCGAAGCTTCCTTGTTGCGAGTAAGCATGTACCCCGCCCATGGATGTCCTGGACGTTGTTCGGAACTGCGTGCTCCCGCCGTCTCATTCACCTCCATCCTCAATTTGGCCAGATCATCTGCGATTTCTTCAAGCTTTCGTTGCTGATTCCCTTGCACGACCGAGTGGTCTTGCACCCGTCGTCGGCTGCCACAACTCGCCCCTTCAAGTCGCCCACCTCCTTGTTGATGTCATTTTGCATGGACTCAATTCGTTCGTTCAACCCTGGCGCGTTCCTCGCCCCAAGCCGTCCTCATCTCGTACATGTGCATTTGCAACATTTCCCTGAGTTCACGATCCGACATTGGTGCATCACCCGAAACTTGAACTTTCTTACTGGGACCTTCTTCTTCTTCATCTTCGTCTTGGGCCACATTGACTTGTCTCTCATGCTTCTTTTTCCGCGTGTATCACGGACAATCTCACCCGAGGTCACCATCACCACGTCCACATTTGCTGCATCGCCCAAGTCGTCATCCTCGTCAGCAAGCTCTGTCGGCGAAGGACATCCATCATCGACCTCAATGTGAAGAGGACCTGTAGCATCCCCCGGGGTGCTCTACTCAATGTCGAGAGTCGTGTAAAGCAACCCTTCAAAGTGGCCGCCCTTTCACGTGGACAAAGCCGAGAATCGTGTAGAGCAGTTCTCCAAAGTGGCCGCCCCTTCACGTGGACAAACGGGAGAATCAGGTAGAAGGTCAACGGTCGCCCCAGAGAATCAGGTAGAAGGTCAACAGTCGCCCCACAGTAGATAACTGAGAACTCTCACGGTCACAGCCGACCAAGGCGGGGCGCCACAACAACTTTCACTCAGCCGTCAACTGGGCTGACGTCGTTCCAAACTTCAACAAGTCCAATGGCTGCCCCGCCGAAAAAAGGAAGTAGCTCGCACAATCCGGGGAAAGCTCGAGAGGTAACGGCCTTGAGCCAAAATGGCACCTCGAAACCCTCGTAGTACTACTGTACTGTACTGGGCAAGGTCCGAGTCAGCAAGAAAGAGGACTACGCAAACAACGGGGGCACAGGGTCAACAGGCCGGACATAAGTCGTCAACACCGCAGTCGCGGTCAGAAAAGCTCGGACCCATTGTCTGAGGCACCCCAGCCCGACACAGCAAGCATCAAGAGATTGCCCCTGGAAATGTACTGTAAATTTGCCCCACATTTCGATGCCAGGCTTTTTCCGAAGGCCGCGATATGAGCGCTATTGAGCGTTCACACCCCAGGGCGCCATCCTGCCGAGCTCCGGTTGATCGGAACTCAAAAGCTCTGTTATGACTCATCACCGCCTCGCCTTGAAAACAAGTTCTCCACTCGAACAGGAAGCCTAACGTCCCAAGCTCTGCAGGTCCGGGGACTCAATATTACCCGACAGGGTGCCCCACGGTGCAAGCACACAGGGACTGTCGCGACAACAGAAAGCAGGACCCGCGCTGCCAAGAGCCATGCGCGTGCGCGGAAATGTCTACAATTCTACAATCCACGTCCAGCCGGCGGCTTTCTGGTTTGAGATGGTTTGAGCCTCGGTGTTTTCGACTACCGCTCTGTCCTCCTGCCTGTGACTCGAGGCCGGGCTTTTTGCGACAGACAGCTGCCGGATTTCTGACTCGAGTTGCTGACATTTGCTGACACCCTACAAAGCTGATCTCTCTCTACACCCCCATCCCCCGATCCCGGTGGAGCGCATTATTCAGGACGGAGGAAGTTATTTGGGGGGGCGGGGGGGTGCCCGCCACCAGAGCCAGTGCAGCATTAAGCTTTAAAGCCCCGCAGAAACGGGTATGATTGGTATGATGGACTGGAAAAGCTTGGGCCTCTGTGGACGAGCTGAGGCCCTGCAGGCGCCGAGATCCCAACCCGCTCGGCACGTCGCTGCCCAGGTTGCCGACCCCGGCCAGACCTCAACAACAATCTTCGTAATCTTCCAGCACAGGCACATTCGCTCCTCTGCGTGCCCCCAAGCCCCAGGCATCCTCAGAGCCACTGATAACAAGCGGGTTCCGGTTCATAACGGCTGAAGTTTGTTCAAGGTGATCGGTTCAATTTACGTTCCAGTGTTTTCTAGTCGCTTGAAAGCATGCCAGGCTCTCGAACTCCTGTGATCTCTTTCCTCTACGATGCCTCCAGATCTGGCTTCCATGCAGGTTGTGGTGTGGATCGTTGTGGTTTGCAGCTATGTTTTGTTGCTGTTGCTGCTGCTGATGATGATGATCATTTTGTGTTTCCACTGCAGAGCGACACAAATCACAGTCCACGTGCAAACAGCGGGATGCCAAATGACTCCTTGCAGGCGCGCCTGCGATATTGCTTTCAACACCGTCCAGCCTAAGAGCAGGCGGCTGATCCATGTTTGAAGAACCCGCCATGAAGAGAAGCTCAACCCGGGTACATTCACTGGCGAGAGATCTTTCTTTCACTCGGTAGCGAAAGAGTGCGACGTAGGGCTCCAACTCAAGAAGCAACTGGTTCAGAGTCTGGGCGTACTCCTGCCCAATGTCGTCTTCAGTGGACCAACCCGTTGAAGCCAGTCAATCCCTCATCTCTGCACGCTGCAGTGCTCAACTGCTCTACCGTCGACGGCCCTGCGATTCTAGAGGTTGCCTGGTTTCCACCACCGCCGGAGGCAGACATTTGCCTCGAAGAGCCTCAGGGCCGATCCCATGCCGCAAGCGTCAACACCTACACTGCCTACACTACTGACAGAACAAGTACCTAAGGACCTACTGAATTCGCCGTGGAAGTATTCATGAATCTCAAATGTGCGACTGTGCAGGTGAACACGGCGTAAAGATCGTAAAGGCTGGAGTACAAGAAGACAGCGGGAGACCGGAGAGAGAGAGAGAGAGAGAGACAGACAGAGAAAGAAAGAGAGAGCGAGAGAGAAACAAACAAAGAGACAGTCTGGGAGTGCAAACTACAATATATAAATATATACGCAATCAAAACATTACATTACTCCGATATCCAGACGATCTCCATGGGCGAAGCCATCACGACTTGATCAGCCCTTTGTGCACTCCTTTGCAGATGCAATCCAAGTATCCAAACAGTCAGAAGTGATGGATCTGCATCTTGGGATCACGCTTATCTCGCCATCTACAATCCCAGGTTCCGACTCCAGACAGACATTCAAGCATAATTCTTCTAATCTCAACCGCAGAATCGACGTTCCAACGCAAGCAGCACATTTACTTTCGACTTCGTTCCTTTGTGTGTCGATGCCGGCACAACCAACCATCCAGGCACACATGCACATTCAAAGTTCGAGATTTCATTGCTGAGTTTGAATCTCATTTGCAATCAGTTATCAATTGCCGTGCTAGAAATCAGCAGCAATCACGAGATCCTAGACACAAGCGATCTGCGTTCTGCGAAACGCATGCCTTTCACAATACCATCCAAGATCATCCAAGAACGGGAATTCCCGTCATTCAACATCTTACACGCAGTTGATCGTTGCTCGGGGTTGAAGGGAATGGAGTAACTCGGAGAGGAAGGGACGGGAAGCTAGGCAGGAACGAAGGGAGTGCAGTGAAGTGGAGAAAGGGAGACATCAAGAGGATCTGCAAGGGGTAAGGGGTGCAGTCTGTATCAGTAAGCTGGCAGCCCACGGCATCCAGCTCGTCCAAGAAGACGATGCAAGGTGCACATGCACGAGCCTCGAAAGCGCGATCTTTATCTGGCACGAGTCCAACATCGCGTCGGATGCCATACTTCTGACTGCATCAAGCGGGATGCTGCGTGCGAAAAAGAACTGATCCATGCCCTGTGCCTGCTCAAAAAACTGTCGGATGCGCTGTGCTCCTTGGCCGACCTCTGCAAAGCAAAGGGTCAAGAGCATTGGAGGAGACACAGGTTGCTTGTCAAGGTACTAGGGTAGGCGTCAGACCATGCAAAGCAAACTGTCTTCCAAAATCAGCACTCGTGAATGGTGAATTGACTGATCATGCTCATGGCACCTTCAGATCCAAGAAGAACGTACAATTGCAAACTTTACGAAGATTTACGAAGTAGCCAACAACTTCGAATCGAATGTCAAGTCGACTTCAGGCGGAACAGCGGTCGCACGGTGCCAGGTGCGGTTGCCATCGGCAGACCAGAGTAGGTTCGACTTCTCAGTGTATACGAGAAAAGCAACCTTTTTCATGAAACCCCTTCGTAGTGCTTTCCTGTTTTGCCGTGCGCACGGGTCACCTTGGGACTGCTGCCACAAGATGTGAGTGCGTGGCGAGATGTGCAACCATTCCCTTTGCCGCAGCTCTGCTGAGCCCCCCTGGAGAATTGCAAAGCTTCGAGTTTCACACTGGCAAAGCAAACTCGTGAGCCTGCAGGCAGTATGCTACACTAGGCCTCGGGGGCGTTCTTGCGGCGTTGCGTGCACTAAACCGATCCACGATGGAGCAGCAGTCAACTATTCGTCGCCGGCCCACCCATGGAGATGATGAGCAACTGCTTCCGCAAAAGCCGCTGAAGAGCGAGCTTGCATTAATTACAGTGGAAGCCTTCAGCATAACACGCCTGCCTAACGCTGCAACACCTGCATTTTCAAAGGCTGCAGTCATCTGCGACCCTTTGCAGGTCGGGGCCCCAGCAAAAATTTCGACGAAGGACGCCGAACTGGCGTAAAGAAACGGAACACCAGCCTGCAGCGCCCCGGGAGTGCCACACTGCTTACTCTTTAAGGCTGGGATGGGCTTGGTCACCGCGTTGATGCAGTGCTTTCCCCAGGACCCGGTAGCACTTGCTTGGTGACCATGGTATGATATGGCATGGCTTACGTGCCTCGCCAGCAACTGCACGAGCCATGAGCCTGGTCACTGGGGCCGAGTTAGCAGAAGAACCGTCAAGGGAAGTGTTCCCATAAGCCCTTGTTGGCGACCCGACGTCTTTCCTGTGCCACTAGGACCGGCCAGAAGGATGCCACGGGGTGGCCGTGCTCCTTGGCTCTCATTGTGGGCTGTCGTTAAATCGATGGTCCGCGGTTCCTGCTGGGGCGAGAACCTAAAGCATAGAATCTGTTCGGATCGCCTGGCTTCCGCAGCACAGTGTCATAGTGTGAGGGTGGTCTGACGCTGCCAGGCGAACGCAAATATGCAATGACCTCCTGCCTCGGCGGTGCACCAACCGCAAGGGCTTGCATTCCCTTGCACTCTCTTGGAGAGAAGCTGAGGGACACGCAGCTCTTCCTTCGTATTCTCCATTCCTTCGCGAGGCTTCGTCTACACAGATCCTGGCAGGCTGGAGCAACATCAAGCCCGGCCAGCCTGCCACGTCATCAAACGTTACTGCAGGTCGGCGATTGAAATCGCGGTTTTCCTGCAAATTCTGACAAGGGATGGACAAGATTGGGGAAGCAGCATGTGGCGCCAGCTTCTGCACGCCTCAAGATGCTTGGCCGCGAAAGTCTGGCCGTTGCTTCTGAAAAGATACCTCCACCGGAGTCACTGCAAGGACTTCCACAATGAGAGCAGCGAGTTCACCAGGAGGGCACCACAAAGCGCCCAAGGAAGCCACAAGTCCACCAAGATCGATCAACAGCGAGAGCCTCCGCGCATTGCTGTGCATGCCATTGGAAAGCTGGAAAAGATGTGTCATCCGCCCCGCTCCAGGTAGCCACAGCGACAAAATCGTGATCTGTCATGTACTCTAGCCACCAGCCATGCGCGCGATCTCAAGCCTGTTGATCTCAGAGTCAGATCCTGCTGCCGCTTCCCGACACTCGAACTGCACGTCAGAGCGTGATCGGAGCTCCTTCAGAGTGCTGCATTCACTGCACGAAGCATCAAACCCCCTTTCTCCTCACCGACACTTAGCACGGTCATTTTCGACAAGTAGTCCAGGTGTCAAAGACGCTTGAAGTTGCAATATGCTGGCATGCACCCGGGTGATTCCATATCTCATTTTTCCCTAGCGTTGCTTCACGTCGACTCACGGCTTTCCGGGCTCGTCTTGTCCTGCATCAAGTCGTGGGAAGCATTTGAAAGCAATAGGGCCGGCAGGGGACCGGCCTTGAGCTCGACAAAAAGAGCGGATGCTTCGCAAGTTGCCGAGGCGGAGGCTTCCACGACGATGCGGCCTGGCCACACGCCCGCAAGTTTGGGCTGAGCCTGCTTCGCTCCCACCGGCCTTTCAAGAAAATTTTGCGACCCTCTGCACGGTCCAGCGTCACCTGCACACCCGGTCCCCACATCACGCAAGCTAATCTTAATGTCCCCGATGCGTCCGGGGCACGATGCACACCTCAGATCTTTCAGGCCCCGTGTGACATGCGACGACATGTTGAGCCGGAATGGCAGGCCAAGCAACTATTTGCGAAGGCAGCGGTGTCATCGCCTGACACAGACATGGATACAGTCACCAAGGGCAGCGTAGCAAAGGCTCAGCATCCATCGCCTAGGCCCGGTCGTCAAACCGCTCCAAGTCTAGACCTCTTTGTCTCCCTGGCCTTGTAGTCCACATGCAGATACCTTGCGCTACAAGTAGCTGCAACACATCCTGCTTTTCGGCTCGTGTCTGCGGGTATTTTGCTAGACACCGCACTTCCCAGCCAAGGCTCGCTGTTGCCGCTCGTCCGCTGCGTCCCAGGCTTCGCAAGTATGTGTTCGCGAACGCTCCAAACCTCGCGGCATCGGCTGTGCTTTGCTGAAATGCTAAGGGCATCACTGGTGAAGACTTGCAACATCTGTTAATCAATCCCTGAACGGCGTGATGCCATCAAGGTGCGCATCATCGATCAGAGCTGCAGAACACCCACCATGACAGCAGCCTGCTGCGCTCTAGAGATTGTGGATTTCACGCAGAAGCAAAACCTATTCGCCCCTCAATGTGCGCCTGGTGGCCCCTCCAGCGTCGTGTCCAGAGACCAGTGAACGAAAACTCTTTGGATCACATCCTCAGTCCGGGCTTCACGGGACTGCTTGAAGGTGACAGTGACAGGAAGCCACAAGGGCCTTGTCATCTGCCTGCGCTATACCGATGTGCAAAAATGGGTGATATACGCTGCATCGCGAAGACTAGAAGTCAAGTCCCCCACTTGAAAATAATAGACGGCCTGGCTCAAGCCTGGAGGCACAAACAAAAAGCCGTGAAAAAGTTTCCCTTGCAGCTCACGGCCGAACCCGAAGACTGGAGAGTGCCGTGGAGGAAATGCAAAGGAAACTTCCTCGCGGTCAAAAGACTTTCAGATGCATAGTTCAGAGTGTGAAGGTCCTCCGAGGACGGAAATATGCCTCTGGCCACCGCAGACCACTGGACCACTCCAGACAAACTCGAAGGACATGAAGTCTCGGCCTTTGGTTCCTCCGCTGGCGTGGTGTCCTCTCTGTGTAAGTCTCCTTTGAAGCTACGTTGCTCCAACATACTCAATATACTCAGCTCCGTGTGCATGCGACAGTCCTTTAGCACTTGCTGAAGCAGCAGGGGCAGCGTCAGCGACTCGGGATACCGGGCCTCAGTGCTGCGTCTGCAGTCCAAGACGGTCATGACTCAACGAGTCCAGTGGCATAGCGCTGCCGGAAGACTTCAGGAACCTGACAGGCGATGTGCCTCAGAGGTGAACTCCTATGGCACTGCGAGCGGCCTTGCCATCATCCAAGAAGTCTTCCCTCTGCACCACTCCTTTTCGATCTTCATTGCACGAAGACGGGGCGAAATGACAAGATTACGGCCTAGCAGGCGCAGCAAGCCATTGATCGCGCTTTGGCACATTGGCGAGCACTTGCAAAGAATGAACTGCTGCACTGTGAACATCGATCTGCATGCGATCTCAATGTCTCGACGTTCCGGAACAAGAACAGAGCCACACGGCTTTTTCACATGATTTGTAGTCACAGTGGAGTCTATACCCTGAACCAATAAGCTGCGGGGCCACGAATGACTGTGCTGGACTCCCTGCACCTCCAGATGAGGGTGCAACACTGCAGATTAGCCTGGGTTGGCTGCATCGGAGGAAGACTGCATCGCATGCAAAGTCCTCAAAGACACCCTGGTGGCTGCCTGGCCTTGCTGTTGGATCACGTGCAAGAGCTAGAAGCAAATTTGCTTGCAAATTGGCACGACGCACGGGCAAGGCTCCAGCAGAAGAAGGGTCTCCATGGATTTCTCCACCGGCAATGGAGACAATGTAGATTTACCTTTGTCGTGCACACTTTGTGCAAGGTCGCACTTGTTTAAGCCTGCTAAGCTCTGCAGCGCGCCTGACTGGCTGGCCAGGGTTGTCAGAGTCGGAACTGCCGCCTGCACAATGCAGGGAGAATGCAGAAATGCTGGCATTCTAAGACTCTAATTGCAATCTAGTCTTTCTATATGCCTGTATATCCTGTCTATAGGTACCCATCGTGTTTTTGTCCGTATCTATGTACGCACGTGCAAATTTGTCTGCTCTGTCCATGCAGGCGGCAGCTGCAACACGGCACCTTCAAGAGCAAAGCACCTGCCGGCGGGCGGTCTGCAAGGTAGCTGACCGCCTGGCAACAACTTTGAGTTGCGGATGTCGACACTAAGCGCCTGTAAGCGAGGCCGGTGTGTCTGTAACTGCCCCATCTCGCAGCAACGATAGAAACTCTGAAAGGGGAATCCGTGTCCTGCACAAGGTTTGCACCTCCCAGTTCAAGCTGAAGCTACAAACACTCGGAGACGGCTGAGATTGGTACACAGGAGGTGGCCCCTGGCACAGGTATGCAAAGGTCACTATGGCCAGAGCGGAGGCATGTAGTCGCACCCAATCCATGTAGCGCTGAAGACAGTACCAGTAGTTGCAACAAGCCGGCTGGCAGCCTCAAGACCTTAACCAGCTGTTTTTGGTGTGTTCCGAGAAACCACAAACACTGAATAACACTGAGCTACTGACTGGGAGTGGCTTGTAGCGATGCTTGGGAGCGCATCCTCTGCCACGCTGCGATACAAACTGGGAACCCAAACCTTTGCGGCGTCGATGACCTGCCCCATGCCCAGTAGGCCAGGCTGGCACCAGAAAGGGCAGCAACGAATTGCGCCGGATCCTTCGTCATTCGCTGGAAGTCGCCAGATGAACACCGGACTTCGGGCAGCTGACCACTTCCCAGTCGCCGCCGTCTCCATCTTGTTCACCTGCGATGTGGAATTGTCGGAAAGAAAACTACAAGCATGCCGAAGCACAATTCGAACACACTTCAGACCTGCCAAGAGCTGTCCTTCCTGCGATATTGATGCAAGGTGAGTGGCTGTCTCCGCGTTTTCCGCTTCTTCGCCGGATGCCGAAAGGCCACAGCAGCACCTTGGAGCGCACCAATGATGCTGAGGCGGATATACCAGCTTTCCGGACAATGCGTTGGGGCTCTTTACTCGGGGAAATTCCCCTAAAGCTCTGCCTGCTGTTAGCGGTGAAAGGCAGACCGACCCTTCCGGAAGCTACTAAACACCATTGAATGCACCGGTTCAGGCGAAGGCAAAGAAGTCACGACCGGAAAGTCGAAACACCATGCAAACACATGGGCCAGCGTGAAGCAATCGACTCCCAATCATTATCAAACTTGTGGCTTCTCCATCTGAGCGCTGGCAATCCAAGGTTACTAAATACAGTTGTTTGGTGAGGTCCCGCGTCCCTCTCTCCGAGTGAATGCAGACCGCTGAAGTGCTTTGCCGGTACATCTTCGAAACGGTTTTTGGGGCTCCGATACCTCTTGTTGCAAAGTTCTGGGGGCTTAGATACACCTTCATAAAGGCTTTCCGGGCCTCGGGATACACCTTCCTAAAGGTTCTTGGGTGCCTCGAGGTTGTTTTGAGTTGCCTCCAATACACCTTCCAAAGAGTGGTTCTGATGGCTCCGATGCACCTTGTGGAAGGCCACTGCCTCGTAAAGTGGTCCAAGAATGAATGTGTGGCTGATGGTGCAATCCGCGTAAGATGCGCGTAAGGTTCGTGTGAGCAGCTCGTGACCGGCAGTCGCCTTTTCCCACCCAGAGCCTACCATGGCACACCCCTGCCAAGCCATCTGAGAACATAGCCCACGTGACATGGTGTATGATATATATATATGGTATCACAGTTTCGCAGCGTTCCCAGGCAGTGTTTAAGGTTTGGGGTTCAGGGTTCAGCTTGATGCCCCAATCATGCAGCGATTGGAGCAAAGCCAATATGGCTTCTGCGCAGCAAAGCTTGGAACCAGAAACACCTCTAAAGACGGAAAATAAGGACTCTGTAAAAGGTAGGGCTGTTGGGTAGGTTGGCAACGGTTGGCATGTCATCGGAAATCGAACTCTGCAGTTTAGCAGGCTGGCCCTCCGAGCAAACAGTATCGCTCCAATGCCATCGCCGAAGTAAACGGATACAAAACACATCTCGGAAAAACTGATTTGCACCAAGAGCCTTTGGGGTGGTACAACTGCAAGTTCTACAGCTTTGAAACCTGCAGTACAGTGAACGTCGGGTCTTGGCAAGGACCGACTGCCTTCGGACAAGCTGTTCGGCTTCTAATGTGCAGGGAGGGCCTCCGACGATGGGGAGAAAAACCATCATGCTCGAAACACCGTGTAAATGCAAATATCAAAGATCAAGCGTGTCAGCGTGTCATAACAACTTCTCGGCCGATACGACTTCCTAACCTGCTTCCCTGCTGTGATTTAACGGACAAATCAAGGAATCCACCGCTGCATACATGACCGGGGTTACATCCGAGATCATTTCCCGTGTGTAAACGCAGGTTGGAGCGACTTGTCTGCAATCGTTCCCCCATGTACTACAAGGATCCTACTGGTAGCAGAGTTGGAGACAGAGTTGGAGCGACCAGGGGTCATGGGAGTATTCATACTTCGAATACTCAGCAACATGAAAACTGTCTTCCGAAAAGGCTTACGCTGTGGTTCTTGCTTACCAAGGTTAAGTGGTTACACACCCGTGATGTAACGAAAACAGCTCATCTGCTGATGGTTCCCATGAGCCGATTGCGGCCATTGTCAAGTAGGGTCATCGAGGTTTTGAAGATCTGTGTTCAATATTTTTCGTCTGCTTCCAGAAGACACCTTCAACGCTGAAAGGTAATGCCTTCCAGATTTTTACCCCCAAGGACTGCTATCGCAACCTTCATGCCCAGTTTAGACGCTAACAGGTCACAGTACGCGTCTACTTCGACTGCATTGCCGGCATTTCCTGCCTCAGCTGCGGCTGTGAGGACTGTCCGCATGTCGGCTCGCGAAGTCTCCCGGGACGGAGATGGTGTCTGTTTGCTGGTTCACGTACCTGCCGCCTGCTGCCGCGGCTGAATATGGTACAGTATGCTTTGTTGCTTTGTGGTGTTGTGCTGGAGCTGGCATGACACTCCTGACATTTTGCGACATTCGTGCATGTGGGATTGGATCACAGCTCCATGTTGTTCCAGAACTCACTCGGACAATCTCGGACATTCGTGCGACAGCCATCTGCATCCGACCAATTCAACTCCAAGTGATATTTCGACATGTGCACCGGCTGGTTTTGTGGAACGAAGCCACTTTTCGTTGCTACTCCAGCAGCACGCAGCATCAGGCGATCCTTGGATCTGCAAGCTACTCCGATGCTGCTCATCACCTGCCAAATCATGCAGCTCAGTCTCCGATACTCGATCTTGCCAGCAGTGGTTGTGTACCTGCACCAGAGTAGGTCTGTGGTTCAGAACTGGCATGCAACATGTTGGCTCACACGCGCATTTGGACTTGCACAAGTGTTATGCTGATTTGTGCGTAATTTAAGTAGAAACACAAGACAATGCAACGTGCTTTTTTTAGCTAAATCTAAAGAACGAAACACGAAACCGAGCTGCGTTAAATTTAACAAAGAAATCGTGCATTCGCTCCTTCTTTACATTTCTTTGATTAAATTTAACCACAGCACACCATCAATCTAGGTTCACAGTCCCGTGGTTTAGTTTAATTCAACTAAATATAACACAAACGAAGGAAGTGAAAAGAGGCATGATTTCATTGAACTAAAACAACCACGGCAGACAGCTGCGTTTGTCTTTCCCTGCGTTTTCGTTTGTGGTTCATTCGTTTCGCGCGTTCTTTTCTCTTCCTTGCAAACGAATGAACAGAACGAAGCAAAAAAAACAGTGAAAACGCACCTGTGAGGATTTGTAAACAAGAATTAAGTAAGAGACAATCATGCAATATTTCTTGAACCAAACCTACAACGGAGGCTAACGGAGGGATGCGCCAAATTCGAGTGCGGCTTAGAGACGTATGCAACTACTTGCTGGTCAGTTCTGACTCACACACGTCTCTCATAAGATGCTGTCCGCCGACCTTCTGTTGTGGGTGCTGCGACAACATGATTCACCATGTAGCAGGCATACTCTCCAAGCATATCGTCATTTGCGCTCCATAAGCACATGATTCGGAATCACAGCGAAGACTTGGTGCCTGGATGCTTTGTATGGGGTGTAGTTGATGCCGGTGACATCACAAGCATCAAGCCGGATTCCTCATAGAGCCAGGTGCCATTGCCGCTCATGCGAATGGTCTCTGAATCGAAGCTGAGGCTTCTACCAGAGATTGCCCAACCCTTGATCTGGAATGCCTCAGCCATGCACACGTCAATTCTACGCTTATTCGTGGTAGCTGTCAGCCATTCTCGTCTCTCATTTCTCCAACCGAAACTCTTGCAATCATTTTCGTGTGTTGAGAACATGGCCAGCTGCGCTGTGGATTTCTCTTCAAACGGAATTTGCGCACTACCATCCTGGTCCAGAGTGGCTCAACGTATCAACCATGGTTCAGGCGTCCGACCGACGGCCTTTGGGTTCGTGGCATATGTCAGCGTGCCCTCTGCTTTGCTTTCCTGACTGCGGGCACCATCCAGTGTGGCACAGCAGCCTCAAACATGTCAAGCGGCCTGGCTGGCCAGCTTGCCCAGATTCCAAACAATGACCTGCAGGTGGACCGGTGCTGTCTCGCGAATATCTGCAAGGCAACGCCGCTCTTTGCCGGTAAAAGCTAGCAGTCAATAGACTCGGCTGCGCAGAACTTCTGAAGCCTTCGACTCTTCGTCAAAGCGGACGCTACCTCCCTGGCATGCCTTAGCTAGCCAGTAACTTTGAAGATTCATGCGATGAAACGTCATAGTTCACTGGGCTGACTGACATCGGGACAGCCACGAGGCCCCAGCAAGGTTCGCAGAAGCGATACTTGCGGGAAGACGAACATTTACAACAAACCTTAATGGCATTGCACTCAGCGTTCAAAGTTGCCCGATCTTCACTCACGAAGGCTAGGCCGATCACTTGTCGATCAGCATCTGCTTATGCTGCATGGTCACGGCAAGCTTGGGGCTTGCTGCAATCTGTCGGACAAAGAGCAGCATGTTTCCACTGCAGCCACTCGACCGATCGACTTCGGCGGCAGGGCTGGGCCCTCCCGAATACATTCCGTGGTCAGTGGTCGGATGTGTTTTGTTGGTTGCTGTTCCCGGTCTGGTGTGTCGAGGTGCCCTCAGCCCATTCCGAGACTACAAGGCATCCGTTTCAATGGCCTTCTGAGGACTCTCAGTTGAAGACCAGTGCCTCTGCCTATCTATCTGCATGGCAGCGGCCAGTGATATACTGCTGCCTCAACAGCTCAAGGGCCGGCAGCCCTACAAAGAAACATATGAATGACGCACGTTCTCTCGATTTCTGCAGCCCTGTAGGCGCCGTTCGGAGCCCAACTACCCCGCCGCACTCGAAGCGCGCTATGTGGCCTACACTGACTCATGCCCAGCGAAGGCGTCTGACAGTCTGACATCCGCGCCCACAAACAAAGCCGGAATCTACGATTCGGGGCAATGTTTAGCTGTTTCATGCGCGTGACTATGCGAGAGACTCTGCCTGCACTTTCCCGTGGTCAGAGTGGTAGTTCACAGAGACCGAGAAGTGGAACGGCAAGTTCATGGTGATGTCAGGAATCCAATACTGCGCAGGCCGAGCACACTCATGCTGCGCACCCCAGTACATCACTCTCGCTTGCATTCCGAGGTACATTAGCAAGCGAGAACTCTCCATCAGGAGGAATGAAGGATAGCACCTGTGCAAGGTCTTCAGCTCGCTAAGGCCAAGGCCCACACAGCCTGGAGATTTGTGACTGACGTTGCATGCGAAGGCCTTGTCCCTATGGTAACGCGGGAGCTTGACCTGCAATCACTCCAAACTCGAAGCACTTTCCAAGCTCTGACTTTAAGGCTCAGCCCGCGGCACAGGGATGAAATGAAACATTCTGCAAGATGCTTGGGTTGCGTAAGCTGAGCAACACCTGAACCGAATGCGCACTTCTGCCAGCAGTGCAGGCCGACGGGTGCACAAGTGCCAGGCTTCAGGGATTCCACTCAACTTGCTGGTCATCAAGACTTCGCCGCTGATGCCACCAGCGACCTTCAAGCACAACACAGCAAGATAGAAATGCAGATGCACATGCCAATAGTGTAGGCCACTGGCAATGATGCCGCTTCCATTGCATGTGCAGCTGATCGTCTCTACGATGTCTACGTAAACCTGATCACATTGAACTCGGAGCTGGACATGCCGCACATCAGCACCTTCGTGCCGGCAGCTTGTCACATTGTAGAGCCACGGCCTCGTTCGAGCCATATGCAACGTTCTGCTTTCGCCACCACACCTTCATGCCGAAACAGACACCGGACGAACTTTCTGCTGCGAGAATCTACACACCCTCAGGCTTGACAAGCGACCTCGGCAGAGGCACCTCCCATTTGCGTATGCCTCAGACAAGCAAACCCGGCCCGTGACTGCTTGAGAACCACGCAGGGAGTCAGTCCAAGTGGCGAGAGGGCACCCAAAGCCGAAGATAGAGCGCCAAGAGGCCCAGCCTCTGCCGAAGCAACGGCTTCCAAGCTCACTGAACCTGGCTATCCCAGCCTGGCCAGAAGACTCCAAGGGCACATCTGACAGCACCTGTGTGCTGCTGCCGGAGACCGCCTGCTCAGTACTCTCAGTCTTAAACTTTTTGCCAGGCAGATGCAGAGAGCCTGCCTGGACAACCTTTCCGATCGCAGATGGCGGGGCGATTATGGACTCAGGACACAAAATGCGATTCATGTTCAGATTGTTGACCTCCGCTCGAAAATGGCCTCAAGGCTGTTCAGCTCTGTGGTGAAAGGCAGGCCACTGTCGATCATCTCGTCAAGCAGCAAATACCTCGGATGTGTGACAATAACTTCACATAAATTATTGAAATATGGGCTTTGTTCGGACTCACACCGTTTAAGCCTCTCGCTTGCTACAAAAAGGGCTATCATTCAAGCCACACTGTCGAGAAATTTTGTCGCAGCGCATCTTCACTGACCTCCCCCAGGTATCTGAAGAGTACCTCGAGCTTGATTGGGCTCGTGCGTGCAGGGGATTGTGCGGGCCGTGCCAGGCCTGGTAAACTCTGTCCAGCAGCTCGAAAACAGCTAGCGGTGGCTCCTTACTGCACATAGCTCACAGAAGATAGGAATAGTCTTGAAAACAATGCTCGTCCCGCTGCAGCACTGGCCTCGTGCGACACAACTGCCAAGAAAAGCATCTTGTCCTGAGGGTGCTGCACGACAGAACTTTAAAGCTGACAAATTTCCAGTGCTTCGCCCATGTTGCGCACAAATTCCACGCGGGCGTTCGACACGCACTGTGTCAAATGTGCAGATGTGAAACACTACATGTTGCAACTTTGAGGCGCAATGCTGCAGGATGCTGCGTGTTGGGTCCGCAGGCTTTGCAGCAAGCCGATGTCGTCAACATCAGGTCTCTGGAGAGCTCAGTAGGTTACACTCGGCATCAACTCGAAGACCTTGGTAAGCCAGTGCTGAGCTCAACATCTCCAGCCCTGATCAAGCCCAGGTACATGTGTACTGCATCATTAAATTTGGAGGCGTGAGATGGTCGCAAACTTCATCCCATCTCCGGTTGGTGGCAAGGCCTGCAGGGCAAATGCTTTTGCCGAGCACAGCGACGCGTGTCTAAAACCGCCTACGATCACCTACGTAATTCTGGCAGGCCCCGGCCCCCATCCAGGGAAAGAGCCAAATGAAACTCCAAAGGCGATTCGGTCCTTTGCTTGCGCGGGTCGTGAACAAAAACGTGTCTCTCTGCCTCTGTACTGGCCCTCGCTCTCGCTTTGTCTGCTTGCTGTTGTTTATGGTTAGGCAAAGCACCCCTAACGCGGTTCACCCGCATAGAGGGGCATGAGCTTGCAGATGAGGTCGTTTAGCAACGTGAGCAGGCGAACAAGCTGAGTTCTTTGTGAAAGGGCCAGCATGCTGAGCGACTAGACAGCGCCTGCACCGGTATTCTCTTTACATTGCCTGCTAGTGGTTAATCCTCCCTTTTTTTCGCCAGGGCTGTGGTGGAGGGTTGTGCCTTTTTTTTCTCTCTGTCTCTCTCTCTCCCTCTCTCGCCGTCGCTCTCGTTTTCTTGCTTGCTTGCTTGGGGTATGAGCTCCCGTGGGAGCCCTGGCCCGAAGGCCCACCCCCTTGGCTCGCGTCTGTTCGTCGGAAAGCCCCCTTTGGGGTTGAATGCCACGTTCCCCTGAGTGCACCTTGAACTGACCCCCCAAAAAACACACCTGCTAAGCCCATGACCACTG